TCCGGCGCAGCCCCGCGCAGTCCCCTCGCGTGGACATTCGTGCGGGCGTTGTTCACCGTTCACGCATGTGCGCCACGACGGCGCACCCGAAGTCCCAGGAGTTCTTCTCGGGCCGGACGAAAGGGGGGGATTGGGGAAAGGCGGGTTACGAAATTTGCTGCATGCTGCTGGTTTCGGCTTCACCGAGGGGCCCATTCCTCGATACATAGCCGCCTCTGGCGCCGGGAGGCGCCGGGAAAATCAGCTACTTGAGCTGATTCTCAACCCCCCCCTTTGCTATGCCCCCCTTTCGCCCGACCCGATCCTCCCTCTGGTGAAGCACCTCTCTTTTGTGGCTTCGCGGTCAATCTGCACTGTGCTAGTTTGTTCTGGCTCCCCCACCTCCTTGGGATGGTGGACCGGTTGTTGAGCTCCCTGCAAATTTGAGAGCCAGAAGCTACGGGCAGACAACATTAAAATTCTCCACGCTTCGTGTATCCCCACCAGCCCATCTCAAAACAGCAACTCTAGCGAAGCATGCCGACAGTCGTGTTTTTCAGGCGTGTTTCCGCCTGCCCCCGCATATCTCCCCTGTTCCTCCTTCCTCCCGCCTCCTTGTACATCCTCCTTGTGGTGGGAGCGGGAGAAGGACGAGGCGGAGGTGGAGGGAGAGAAAGCGCTCCTCGTGGTTTGAGTCGTTCGGGCTTCTCGTCCTGGTGTGAGTCGTTCGGGCCCTCCTTCCTGGTGTGAGTCGTTCGGGCTCTTCGTGGTGTGAGTCGTTCGGGGCTCCCCCACCTGCTTGGGATGGTGGACCGGTTGTTGAGCTCCCTGCAAATTTGAGAGCCAGAAGCTACGGGCAGACAGCATTACAATTATGTTACTGCGTTCTGTGTGAATTACTACTGCATGCCTTATGGATCGAGTGCATTTTGACAGCAATGCGCGCCACGACGGTGCGTCCGAAATCCCAGGAGGAGTTCCACCCTCTGGTGAAGCACCCCATGTGTCCAGAGCGTATCCAAGCCAAACGAGCCCCCCAAAGTAACCCCCAAGTGCGCCGAAATGTGCCCCGAGCGACCCCCCCCAGAACACCCCAAATCGGTGCCACGGCATTTGCGGCATGCCGCTGTGTGATTGATTTCTGACACTAATGCTTGCTTGTTCCCAAAAAAACAGCGCTTGCACTTGGGAGTTTGGACTTGGAACTTAAGTTGTTGGCCGTGTGGATCGGGTGGTCTCCACGTTCCCGCCCATGGGCGCCTCGTGGTTGCTTCGAGTCCTGGCTGGGTGGGCACGGGTCTCGCCTGGTACCCGCGCGCGCGTTCTGTGCTGCGCAACTGCATTTCTCTATCATGTGCGCGCTCGTTCCACACTTGCGCACACACATCATTACACGAAAACCCCCACAGAACCCCAGATAGTCAAAGCTGCTGAATTGTGGGCCTCCCAGATGGTTCGAGTAGATGAGGGCGGATCGTCGCACCGCATCCCCGATTCATCTCCGATGCGGCTCGATGTGGAGCCCGACGTCCTCCGCGCTGGCGTCGCCGATGTATTGGCGAGGAGGAGGAGGAGGAGGAGGAGGAGGAGGAGGAGGAGGAGGAGGAGGAGGAGGAGGAGGAGGAGGACCACCCCCAGAAAGAAAAAGAGGCCCCTGCGCGTCGACGGCCGCCTCCCGCCTCCCTCGCAGAGGCGTGCGGGCGCGCCGCCGGGCAGGTGCCCTGCTGCTCCCCGCGGTGCTCCCGTACCGCGACTTCGAGAGGCGCCTCGCCCCGCGCGCACGGGCGCCGCGGGGCAGCCGGGCGCCCCTTGCGCGATCGGGGCCGGGTCGCGTGGCTCCTCCTGCTGCATCTCTGGCTTGCCAGCATTATGTCGACCCCCACCCCCTTTTTCCTGTCCCTTCCTCCCTCCGCCTCCCTCCTCTGCTGCCGCCTCCTCCTCGTCCGCCTCTTCCCCTCCTCCTCCCCATGCTCATCTCCCCCTGGTTCACAGCCCTTGTCGTTCACGTCCTCGTCCGCTTCTTCCTCCTCCTCCCTCATCCTCCTCCTCGTGTTCCTCCTCCTCCTCCTCCTCCTCCTCATCATCATCATCATCAGCATCATAAGTTTAATCATCAGTATCACCATCATCCTATTTCTCATCCTCTTCCTCCTCCCTCCTCCTTCTCCCCCTCCCCCTCTTCCTTCTCCTCCTTCTCATCCTCCTCCTCCTCCACGTCATCACCATCATCATCATCATCATCATCATCATCATCATCACCATCATCATCATCACCATCACCATTACCATTACCATCATCATCATCATCAGCAACAGCATCATCATCATCAGCATCATCATCATGAGCATCATCATCGCCATCATCATCTGCATCATTACCATCCATCATCGTCATCATCGTCGCCATCAGCAACAACATTGTCATCATCAGCATCATCATCGTCATCAGCATCGTCATCATCATCAGCAGTTACAGCAGCACCATCATCAGCGTCACCATCATCACAATCACCATCACCTTCATCATCCACATCCTCATCATCATCATCATCATCATCATCATCATCCTCATCATCACCATCGTCATCACAATCATCAGCAGCAGCATCAGCATCAGCAGCACCAGTATCAGTATCATCATCAATATTCGTATCGCCGCATTCAGCTTACGACACAACATCATCAGCTTCATCAGCGTAAGCATCATCATCAGCATCATCAGCAGCATCATCATCGTTATCGCCATCCGCATATGATTCCTCCTGTATCATCTTCTGACCTTTCCGCCTCCTCCTCCTCCTCGTCGGCCTTCCTCCTCTTCCGTCTCCTCGTCCCCGTCCTCATTCATCTCTCAGCGCAGCTCCTGGTCCTCCCTTACTGTCTCTCTCCCTATGTGTCGCTTCTCTCTTTATGTGGGTGTCTCTCTCTCTCTCTCTCTGTCTCTCTGTCTCTGTCTCTCTCTCTCTCTCTCTCTCTCTCTTACATCCCTCTCTAGGGCCACCTTGAGAGCCCCCTTGGGGTTGTCTTAAGAGCTTCCTGAGCCGCCTGGGGGCCTTCTTGGAGACCTCTTGGGCCGTCGTTTGCTGACAAAAACCAAACAGGCGAGAAAGCGAAAGTGTGTCAAACAGTTGTGGGGAATTAGTGATGTTGACATCTTCGGGCTCATCTTGCAGCACTTTTTTGCGCCATATTGGGGGCTCAGTGGGCCGCCTTGAGGTCATTCGAAGTTGTCTTTGGGACCCTTGTGGACCGTCTTCGAGGCACCTTGGGCCATCTTGGCAGCCTGAATGGTCAGCCAAGGCCGTCTTGGAAGCAAGCCTGGGCGTCTTCGGCGCCTCGGAGAGCAGGAGGAGGAGGAGGAGAAGGAGGAGAAGGGGGAGAGGGAGGGGGTAGGAGGATGAGGAGGAGGGGGAGGAGGAGGAGGAGGAGGAGGAGGAGGAGGAGGAGGAGGAGGAGAGGAGGAGGAGGAGGAGGAGGAGGAGGAGGAGGAGGAGAGGAGGAGGAGGAGGAGGGAGGAGGAGGAGGAGGAGGAGGAGGAGGAGAGGAGGAGGAGGAGCAGCAGCAGGAGCAGGAGCAGGAGGAGGCCGCCTGGCCAGCCTCTGGAGGGGGGGGGGGGGGCGCTGCTGGCGACCAGATGCGGGTGTTGCCTGAAGGGCCCCTGGGCCGAGGTGCGCATATGGCCTGCCCCCCCCCCCCCCGCAAGCTGCTCGAACCACGCAGCGCGATAGAACCATACGGGACATGAAAACGACCACAGCCACTGCTTTTCTTTTGTTGCCGCCGTCCAGCCAGCAGAAACAAAGCAGTGGTTGTGGTCATGTTCGTTGAGCTTGGCACCAGGGCAATGACCACGACCACTGCTTCTTTTTCGGCCAGCTGGAAGGCGGCCCAAACAAGAAGCAGTGGTTGTGGTCATTTTCCCGTCCCGCAAACCAGCAACAGTCACCACCCACCAAACCACCCCAGCCCCCCAACCAACCACCCCTCCATTTCAAATGGGGGGGTGGATCGGGGAACCGTGATACAAAAAACGTGTGGAACCCGCATACCCCCCAAACCGAGATTGGTATCTTCAGGTTAGGTTGGTGTGGCTTAGTAGGTAGTCAAGCAGCGACTCTTCGCAAGTAGTGCTTCTCAAATCGGCCACCTGCGGCGCATCCGCGCGGCCGCTCAAGTTGGCGGTCGCTCGCAACGCCCCCCGCCCAACAGCGCCACTCCGCGACGGCAGCCTCGAGGCCCACTGTTCCCCGCAAGCCGAACGAATCGACCTGGCATCGCCCAGACGTGCGCATTTTGTTGGCGCGGCCAGCGCCAGAAACTCAGGACCATCTTGGAGCACATCGGATCATCTTGATGAAGACAAACGCGCACGAGACCAAACAATGCACAAGGGATAGACGCCCGAGCGATGGCAAGGGGAGGGGGGCGGTCGGGGAGGGGGGCGGTCCCTCTGAAGATTACAGAGGGCCTACCAGACAGCCCGTGGCATTCTACCACGCCTCAGCGTGCCAGCGGATTCTGGTGGCAGTTTGAGGGGTGAGGTGGGTGTCATCCAGTTGGCAGTTCTACTCGCAGTTAAGAATGCTTCGTTGGCCGTTTTTGGCGGCGGTTTTGCGCCCGCCTACGTGTTCGCACCTTGGCGTCGGCTTGGCGGGGGCTGGGGGCCAAGGGGCGAGCTCTCTGGTGATTCACAACGGGCACGAGGGTGTTACTCTTCCTCTCCCCCCTCTTGAGCACGGCACACTCCGACAGACCATCATTTATCGCGCGCTCGCTTCGCACGGAGCATCGACGTCAGTGAGACAGCACGGATAGTTGGGCACGCTTGTTGCAGCAACGCGCGGTGGCCAATTCTTGACATGATTTGTCTCTGACTCGTTTTCCTAAGTGCGAGTGGCCTCGGGAGTTTCTGAGCAGTGGAGCCGCGTCCGTCTCGTTCGCTGCTCCTGCTGCTGCTCTCTCCCTCTGCTCCGAAACCGCTCCTGCTCAAGCTCTATCAATCGAGGGGCCCCCGGCAGTGCATGGTGGTGCCGTGGGCCGCAGCCGGCCCGTGGGCGGCCTCCATCGCGACCGCGTGGCTCTCGCGCTGTCCCGCCTGCCCAGAGGCCCGCGTGACGTGCGGGGCCTGCCCCGCGTGCCCTCCGGCGGCGGCCGCCGCCCCCTGCCCGGGCTGCCCGAGCTGCCCGGACTGCAGTCTGACCTGCGGGTCCGGGCCAGGCTGGTGGGCGGTCCTTGCCGCCCTGGGCGCTGGGCTCGCGGCTGGTGGCAGCCTCCGCGTGACGCTGGGCTGGGCCGCCCGAGTCGCCTCGCTCTTCGTCGGCGGAACCGACCCGCCGCGGCGCGAGGGCGCGGCGCCCGTGACCCTGCTCGTCGAGGACGACGGAGCGGGCCAGGACGGCGGCGCGCAGCGCCGCTTTCGGGCGGTGCGAGCGTAGCCTGATCGTCGGCGGTTCGCCAGATGGCGGCGGCGGCGATGCGGACGCTCGACGTGCCCGAGGCGCAGGTGTGCGTGAACTACGACGACGACGACAACTTCCGGTGGCACCACAGGGTGCTCCTCGAGCAGCTCAGCCCTGGCATCTGGGTGGCGGCGACCCCCGACGGCGAGGTGCTGACGCTGGACCTCAGCAAGCACCTGGTCGTCCCCCTGCGTCGGGGGTCCGCGTTCCCGGTGCGGGTTCGTGGGCAGGTCTACGCGTTCGGCGACCAGTCGGACGAGGACATCGAGGCGCTGCGGGTGGAGGCGCGGGGCCTCGCCCTGGTCATGGGCGTCTCGGCCCCAGCTGGGACTGCTGGCGGCGTCGTGCCGCGCTGGATCGTCTCGGACCCAGGCTCGCCCGAGTTCGGGCGCGAGCTGGACCTCCACCTCATCGGGAACCCGGAGCGGCTGATCAGCCGCGACGCGGTGGGCATCGCGATGCTCAGCGAGGAGGAGGGCTGGGTCTCGGTCGAGAACGTGCAGCAGGCCGACGAGGAGGACTGGCGCGCCGAGAAGCGCCGAGGCCCGGGACGCGACCCGCGGATCCTCCCGCTGGCGCGGCGGGGTCGCGGGGCCCAGGTGACGCTCGGGGAGGCGATCGCGAAGATGAACGCGGTCGACTTCGACGACTGGCCCTTTCGGGGGCCGAAGGCCCTGCCCGAGCTGCTGGCCGCCATCCTCGCCACCGGGCTGACCCTCACGTCCTACTGGGGGTACTGGGCCTCGGAGTCGGGGGTGTCGCGGAACGCCGCGGTGGCCCAGGAGGTGCGGCACGCGCTGAACCAGCTGCACCACGCCGTGACGTACGACCTCGTGGACCCGTCAAACCTGGCGTCTCTGGAGCTCCTGGGACGCCGAGTGCTGCAGATCCAGCGGGCTGTGAAGAGGTGCCCGCGCCACCCGAGTTTCGAGGGCCTCGGCTTGATGTTGAGCAGCTCTTTGGACGAGAGCGGAGGCGTCGTGACGTCCAAGTTCGACGCGTTCGTGGCCGAGGAGCAGAAGTCGCAGGGCATCATTCTGAAGCAGGAGCGGATGTACCGGGAGGAGCAGGAGTCGGAGGCGAAGAAGTACGAGAGGCAGGGCGACGACAGGGAGAGGGGCCCCGGGGCGGATCCGAAGGGCAAGGCGAAGCCGAAGCCCAAGGCCGCCGCGAAAGATCAGGGTTGACGGCGCCATGTCGGCGCCATCATGGCTGGGCACTCCGCCCGGCCTCACTGGGCCTGGCCCTGACTCCGCAGCCGCGAATGCGAGTCGGGCCGGGCTGCTCTCCGAGGGGGTCTCCTCCGAGGGTCGGACTTCGTCCACAGTTTTGTTTCCTCTGCCGCAGGGCGACGAGTTCTATCGCCACCCTCATCGTGGAGAACGTGCCGCTCTGCCTCGGTATCTGGCCCAGCGTGCTGCTCGTGCTGACGACCGTGATCGCAGGTCTCTCGAGACTCTGGGCGCGCTCAACGCGCTGGCAGGCGCGCGGGCTGGGGGGCGTCTCGAGCCTCGAGCGCCCGGCAAGCATCGGCCGACTACCGCCCAGGAGTCGGTCATCAAGCGAGTCCGACGTTGTATCCGCGGGTTCGGCGTCCGACCGAAAGACATGGACTGTGCTGGAGCCCTGCAGGAGCTCCTCAAGCGCAAGGATCTGTACTCGAACATGGGCGAGGCTTCTACTCGCCGCGACTATGATGCTGACAAGCTCAATGTGTTACGACGTGCGCCACATGACCGGCCTCGTCAGCTTCGAGACGTCGCCCCTCGGCACGTCACCGAGGCGCTGGACCACTTCGACTCGGACGTCGTTCGCCCCGCGCCGAACATCCCCGAGGACGAGGTCATCGTGGAGCCGTACTGGGACCCTCTCCTCAACCCGCGCGACCCTCGGAACCGGCCACGTCTGGTCGACTTCCTTCGACGACTCGCTGCACGGGGCCTGGTGGGTGGCCGGGCGCGTCGGAAGGCGTGCGTCAGTACCTTCTTCGTCGCCAAGAAGAACGGCGACATCCGCATGGTCGTGGACGCTCGCCAGCCCAACCAGCTGCACAAGCTTCCCCCTCGGACTGCGCTTGCATCCGGTGAGGCGCTGGGCTCGATCAACTTGCTCGACGCCGTCGGCGCGAGCCCCGAGGACTTGGCGGATTTCGACGGCTGCTACGAGTCGCTCTGCGCAGGCTCCGTGGACCTCATGGACGGGTTCTACCAGTTCGCCGACCCCTCGTGGGGCAGCTGGATGTGCTTCGACGTGGAGGTCACCGCTGACGAGCTCGGGCTCGACTCGATCTACGACGAGAAGCTCGGGCGCCGCGTGGCCGTATCAGGCGACGACGTCATCTGGCCCTGCTTCGCGGCGCTGCCCATGGGCTGGAGCTGGGCGCTCTGGATCTGCCACGAGGTTCTCGTCGACGCGATGGTCGAGGCGGGCCTCCCAGGCGACGGCTGGTGCCTTGACAAAGCCCGTGCGCCGACCCTCGTCGGACAGGCTGTCGTCAGGGCGCCGTACGTCGACAACGGGAATCTTGTGTCGCTCAGCGCGCCGGCACTCAACGACCGGCTGGACAAGCTCACTGCTGAACTGGACCGCCGTGGGCTTCGCTGGCACGAGCTCGAGCGCGCGCAGCCCGGCCTTGTCATCTTGGGGCTGGTGCTCGACGGGCGCGAGGGCCGACTCAGGCATACCGCCAAGCGCGCCTGGAGGCTCTACCTGGCTCTGCACCACGTGCTTCGGACGCCATGGCTCGCCCGCTGGCAGCTGCGGCGAATCGTCGGCCATCTGGTGCACTACTTCTCCGTCGTGCGCCCCGGGCTCAGCGTGCTGGGGGCCTGCTACACGTTCATCGGAGACGGCGATCTGCCCCCTGTCGTGCGCTTGCCTGGAGATGTTCTCGGTGAGCTCGCAGTTGCTGCAGGCCTCGTCTTCCTCGGCGAAGTGGACCTGTGCCGCGTGCCGTCCGACGTCGCCTTCACGACCGACAGCTCGCTGCGAGGCTACGCCGTCTGCGAAGCCCGACTGGAGCCCTGGGAGGTGCCGGCGGCCACCAGATGGCGGGAGCGCCAGCGGTTCGTCGCCACCGAGCCCGAGGTCGCACCCGACGACGAGCAGTACGAGGGGCGGGCCGCCGGCTTCTGCGACATCTCCGGGCCACTGCCCGTCGAGCTGCCGCCCCGGCTGCGGCACGCCGTGGCCAAGAGGCGCCGGGTCGAGCTGGAGATCGGGGTCCCGCCCGAGCCGTTGGCGGACGCTCTGCTGGACGCTGGCCGCTGGGTGGAGCGCCGCCGTGGCGCGTGGCGCCGGCCAGGGCGTATCCACGCCCTCGAGGCGCGCGCCGCCGTCGCACCGCTATGGAGAGCGGCAGGCGACGTCAACTTCCACGGGAAGGAGATCCTCAGCCTGTGCGACAACATGTCGTCGGTCCTCGCCTTTGAGAAGGGCAGGGCCACCAATTTTGAGCTCCTGGCGCAGTGCCGCCGGGCTGCGGCCGTCTGCTTCGGGTGCGAGATCCGCTGGCGGCCGAGGCACGTGCCTGGCATCTACAACGTCGCGGACCACGGGAGCCGGGCGGCTGACCGGGGTGAGCTCCTCCCCGGACGCTACCGCGGACGAGGCGCCCTGTCGGCGCCCACCAGCGGCAGCCGCCGAATTCCCGTGGTCCCGCCAGCCGCGGGCAGGGCCAAGGCCTCGCCGACCACGGCTACCGAGTTTGAGATCGGACGAGAGCAGGCCGAGTTGCTGGGGCCTGAAAACACCGAAAGAGACCGTTGCATTCCGTCACCTCCGTCACCTCAGCCTTCCTCTGCCACGCATTCCTCTTCTTTCCAGAGTAAAAGGCATCAAGATGAAGTCTCGAAAGTACGCCCCAACGAGCGACCCCGACGAGATCGACCTGAGCATGTTCGAAGCCTCCCTGTTGCACTCGAGCCTCCTGGAGTTCCTCTACGGGGCCCACATGTACACCTTGGGGCACGCGAAGATCCTCAACAGGACCCTCCTGGGCGCCCTCGGCCTCCTGCAGTTCTACAACAGGGCCCACCTGTACACCTCAGGCCACACGAAGAGCCTCAACGGGCACTGGCTAAGCGCCCTCGGCCTCCTGAAGTTCCTCGACGGGGTCCCCCTCGTAAAGCCTTCCTCGAGATCTTCGCGGGCACTGCAAATCTCAGTGGTGCGTTGCATGAGCGAGGTTTTCGGATCATGCCCCCGATGGACTCCAAGTATGGGCCCCACTGTGACCTCACAAGCCGCCGTGTCCAGCATCTCGTTGAACATTGGCTCAAATCGGGAGAAGTCTGGTGGGTCCACCTGGGCCTGCCCTGCACGAGGTGGGTGCCCGTCGGGGGCACGCGCGATCCATCGCCGGCGGGCCGCACGCTCGTGGCGTTCACAGTCCGTGTCTTGCGACTCTGCCGGACCCTGGGGATCTTCGTCACTTTCGAGAACCCGCCTGCGAGCCGAGTCTGGAAGTGGCCCGCGTTGCAGCGCGAGCTGCAGCGCCTTGCCTGGCCGAAGGTGCTGTTCGACTCGTGCAGGTTCGGCGCGCCCTTCAAGAAGCCAGGTGCGATCGCCGGGAGCCTTCCCGGGCTGGGTCATCTTGCACTGCGCTGCTGTTGCGCTTGCCGCCACAGGGTCGAGCTGCAGGGCAAGGTCCGGCATCCGACGCGAGGCTGGACGTGGCGTACGACTCTGGCCGGTGCTTACCTACCCAGCTGGTGCCGCCTGCTGGTCTCGTTGGCCGGCCCAGACGCCCCTCAGAGTGCTTTCGGGCGCTCGACCCAGGATGACCTCCAGGCTCGGGCTCACGCGCTGGCAAGCGCGGCCGGGGTCGCCGAGCCCCGCGGAGTCACGGCGCCGATCTGCCCGCAGCGCTTTCGGCTCCCCTGGAGGCCAGGGTGGGCCACCGCGCTCGACCCGCGCCCGCGCAGCCGCTGACGTGGCGGTTGCACCAGCGCCGGCGCAGCCGCGGTCGCACTGGCAGCCGCGGGCAACGACTGGCGTCGACGCCCGCGAGGCAGACGTCGAGGCAGGCGCCGACTCAGCCGTGCTGACGCCCAGGCGTGCAGGCCGGAGCCAACGTGACCCTGTCCCTCGTCCAGTGGCCGTGGCCGCCCGGCGCCGCCGAGCGCAGGCTGCCGCGCGCGGAGACGTCGCTGCTAGTCAGCGACAGGCCGCCCCTGGAGAGTACCTCCGCCTGGCCTCGCTGCGGCCAGCCACGGTCGACAGCTACACGTCCGCCGTGATCGAGCTGACCGACTACGCCAATCGCCGGGGCCTGCTGCTGACCACGCCGGAGCTGGCAGACGAGACGCTCAACTTGTACTTCGAAGACTTGTTCTTTGCTGGTGAGCCCCAGTACCTGGCTCGAAACGCGTTGTATGGGCTCTGCAAAGTTCGAGGATGGTCTGCTAGCCGACCTCGCTTCCATAAGGCCAAAGATGCTCTGACTGGTTGGGCGGCAAAACTGCCGGCTACGCCGCGAGAGCCGCCCCCGTTCGAGGCCGTCCAACTGACCTGTGCCGTGCTCGACAACGGGACCACGTCCGACCTGCTGGCGTGCCTGGCCTCCGTGACCGGGTTCGACATGTACTTCCGGCCAGGCGAGCTGCTCGCCATCAAGCCAGAGCACGTCTTCGGCTCTCGTACGTCAGGCAGGGCTTCTGACATTACCGTCGTCGTAGCACCGCTAGGCGACGACAAGCCAGCCAAGAACAAAGATTTCGACTGCACGGTGAAGGCCGGCACTGACCTGCCCGTTCGCCGAGTCGTTCCCGAGATTCTCTCTAGGCTGCGAGCCCGTGCCAGACGTCAGAAGCTGCCGACTCTGTTCCACCCTCTTTCCCTTCCTCTGTTTGAAAAGACTTTGAAGCAGGCCGCCCACTCAGCAGGAGTTGGTGATCTCCTGTCAGTTCCTCACCAGTTGCGCCACGGAGGGCCCTCGCACGACGCTCTGAACAAAATCCGACCGATCGAGGCCATCCAGCAGCGCGGGCGCTGGCGCGCCCGAGAGAGTGTTCGTATATATGAAAAGCACGGGTCTGCCCTTCGTCAGAGGTCGAAGCTCACTGAACTGCAAATCTCGTCAGCTGCCCGTTTTACTGACTCGACAGTTCGTGACATCCTCAGGCGCGCGTGCGCCAACTAGTCTTGTCTCTTCGCCCCAGCCTCGGACCTATACAGTGATAATGAT